ACCACCTCCCCACCCCCACCCTCACTTCTCGCTTTGTGAAGGGGTCAGATGGTGAACTTTGCCCTGTCTTGGGATTTATCTGGATTTCTTCCAAGGGCCCTGCCCTACTGCCACTGTCTGAGCAGACATGTAAAAGATGGCTGTTGTGTTTTCTACTTCAAGTTCAAGGAAAAGTCCCAATAGCTTTATAGCAATTGGGGGTGGGGAGAGTTCTCTGCCCAGTCAAGCCTGGGATACAGTATTAAATAAAAGATTGTGCATCATGAAGATGCCACAGGGAGAAACAGAACGCAAAATTTCCCGATTTAACCACCAAATCTTTTCTTCACAGACCATCTCACAAGGTTAACTGTTCTGCAGAACATGCTTTGAAGACGTGTAACGCCCCCTCCCCGCCCCCTCCCTTAGTCATCTCAGAGCTCTCTGTTTCAAATGATCTGTGTGCCTATTTAGGTGAGGTCCAGGAAACAACACCCATGTCAGCATGGAACCTGGGTTGCACGGAATGAAAAGATGATGTCAGGTTTTCATACCAACAGTTACTTTTTCAGCAACTGAGTGGTCTCCAAACCATGGCCTATTTGTTTACCTACCAGCACCTTTGCATTGCACAGAATAGTTCCCTCCTGGTGTTTGTACCATTCTTTAAAAAACAAAACACTTTATTTATTTATCTATTTATTTATTTGGGGGGGCAGAGGTAGGGAGAAAGAGAGAAAGATCAATTTGTTGTTCCACTTAGTTATGCGTTCGCTGTGTTTGTACCATTCTTCTCTAGATTCGTCAACCTGTGTGGTGAGTCAAAGAACTGGCATTGGCCCTCGATCTGTGGTTTTTGAGCAGCTCTGCAAAGTATGTTTTGCAAAATAGCTAGTCTCATGTGCCTGTCTCTACACGCTGGCCAGGCATTTTTTTATGGCAGGGAGCTTGTCCAACGCACCTCCCTGGTAACTAGCACAGTTCCAGACCCAGGAGGTGTTCGATAAATGTTGTTGAGAGAGTGTGCCCCCAATGATCCACTAACTAAATTAAAACTTGACCCCTCTCCAAAGTCAAGGCCATGATCTACCTTTCTCATAACAGTGTTCTGTCTGTACTTACACAATTGGGATTATAACCCCTTCACTTTTAAGATAAATTCAGGGGTCTTTTGCCCCCTACTCTCCAGAAACAGAATTGAGACCTTGCGCAAGGTAACACTTCTAAATGTTATTCCAAGCATGTGCCCTTATATAAGTTTTGCATGGGCAAACCCAGATCTGTTTTTTCATTGCTCACTCCTCTGGGAATTCTCCCAATATTTGCTATGGTTTCATCATGTCCTTTTTAACTTTTTTCAGCTACGTGACAGTTGTTTTTCTCCAAAGATTATGTTTGGGCCAGGCCTGAATTAGTGTGACTCTGCCTTCTCTTTTAATATAATGTGCATTCTTAAGATTAAACACATTAATAGAAGATTGCTTTAATCACACACGTATAAGAAGCCATGTTCTTTTTTTCTTGATCCCAAGTTTTATTACTTCACCTACTTGCCAACTTCCCAAAAGATTAAGTGAAATCAATCAGTTGGTTCATTTCTAAGATGACTCAGTGTATCTTGTCCACTGCCTCTCTCTCTCTCTCTCTCTCTCTCTCTCTCCCTCTCTCTCTCCCTCTTTTTTCTCCTCCATTACACAACACACACACACACACACACTCTCTGAGTTTACTTTGTACCTCCAGTTCTGGAGTAGACTATAGACCACTTTGGGGAATATGTGAAAGACAAGAGATTACAGTCTTACTCATCTTTTATAACCTTCTAGCCCCTTACCAGACTTTTTCATAAAGATTTTCCCCCTCCTTTTTTAATGGAGGAAATTACAAAACACATTTCAGGATGTGTCTCTCAAAGATAAGAACACTGAATAAATATAACCTCACTACCATTAACACATCAAAAAGGGAACAATGATTTTGTAATAGTGAAAAACTAGGCAGTGTGCCTCTATTTCCAATTGTTTCATGAGATCAAATGTTTATTGGTTTTTTAAAATAAAAATAAAATTCCAAATAAATTCCCCATGTTGTGATTGGTTGATATGTCTTTTACTATCATGTCTTTTTTCCTTATAATTTATTAATGAAACTCCGTTGTTTGTCCAGTAGCATTTCCCACAGCTGAAATTTTCTGAACAAATCCTTGTGGTGCAGTTTAGCATCCACGGGATTCTGAAATTTGGCTGTGTTTCCCAGATAACCTTTTCATTTAATAAGTTTCCTACTTTCAAGGGGCAGCACAACAAAAAGAAAAAAATAGCCCTGGCGGAGGGGAGAGGGTGGGGGGGAGGAAGGGGACAGGGAAGACTAAACATGAGGGAATTTATTTCCTCTAAATTTCCACTAGAGGGCGACATTTGCCTTAATATTATATTTTCCCTAATAAGTTTTGAATTGCATCAAATTTGTTTTCACACTTTTGACAAGTTGAACCCAATTACCTACTTAGACTTCTTATCTCAATTCTACAAGATATGGTCACATCTTGTGTCCTCTGCTAATTTGGCCCCTGCGAACTTGTCTTTCCTATTACTTCCATCCTTGACTCCGTTCCCAGTTCCAACCACTAGAAGGCGATATTGCATAAATAAAGACTCTCAGAAGAACTGTTAAGCCAGAACTGCCAAAAAGAAGGGCGGGGGGGGTGGGAAGGGGGGGCGGGTAGTTACACAGGGAAAGGGCCATTAATTTAAGAAGGAGACAAACCAGACATTTCTAGTTCTTATCCAACTCACGGCCAAGGTCAGAGCTGCACAAAGGAGCCATTCAGGAGCGCGAAGGTTGACTTGGGGGACACGCGTGCACAATCTCCTTTTGCGGTTCCACAGGATGGGGCAAATGCACGTTTGTGCACGTGTATGTGAATAGTTACTGGGCAGCAGCAGGACGGGGTGGGCTGGGCGTGAATCTGCTAGAACGAATAGCGCGCTGACTGGCTGTCTCTGCACACACCCTGAGACAGGTTTACAACAGCGCTGCTTGGAAGTCAGCACTCACCCTCCTCCCACCCGGAGAAAACCAAGTCCTGAGGGGACATACGGTTCGCCCCTGGGCGCACCATTTAGAGGTGGTGCATTCAGCCAGGTGTTCGAACTCAGGTCAGTGCTAGGGACACGTCTCCCCTTCTCATTCCTCCTGTAATAACCACACATTCGCACCCGACAGCAGGCACTGTTGTACAGATAGAGGTAGCAGGGAAGGCGCGGACTCCTGAGAATTGGATCATTTAGGATCCTCTCCCCGGAGCAATACGCGGAAAGCTGCGTGTGTAATTTCAAGTGAGGGTGGGTGGATCGCAGACCTCCTGCTGCCCGTCCATGTATCAGGTTCCAAGTTTAGGAGAAATTCTGTTCTGGACCGAGCCTAGATAGCAATGCAAAGAACCTGACGGATTTTGGGGAGCGGAGCGAGCAGGGGCGTCCCACCTCCTTCCAAACGCAACTGGAGTTTCGTCTCAGAAAACGGGAGGGGCTTGGAAGAAAGTCTGGGAGAGAAGTGGGGCGTCTGGGTTGGGCCCCCTCCCCCATTCTCCGGTCTCCCAACCCCACCCCAGACCCACTCTCCAACCGCTGGCGCCCGTGTTCGGCTGCAGAGGACTTGACAAAAGAGCTGCGACCGCCACCCCGGGCGGCAGGAAGGCGGGCAGCGCACAGTGGCTTTTCCTTTCCATGTTTACATCGTCAGCTCCCGAGACTAACGTTCGGACTCCTTCCCCCCACCCCACCTCCCGCACGCCCTCTCGCTCTTTCTCCTTCCCCCTCCTCCACCGCCAGCGCAGCCGCGGCGCCCGACTCTCGGCCTCCCGCCCCGCCTCCGCCTCCGAGGGTTTTCACCCGCCGCGGAGTGAAATCTACATAGTGACCGCCTCCCCGAGAGATCATTGGTTCAGCCCCTGCCCGTAGCGGCCGGTGATTGGTGGGCCGCCCCGACTTATTTGCATGCCGGCGGCTGCGAGGTACCCAGCTGTGAGGCGGCGCTCGCCCCGCAGAAGTTTGCCCGGCGCTTCCTCGCCGGCTCGTCCCACACTCGCGCCGCGTGGGGCGCCGCCTCCTTCTGCCGCCGCCGCCGCCGCCGCCCTGTTCTCTCGGGGTTCCTTGTCTGCGGGCACAGACGCTCCGCTTGCGGGAAGTTGAGGTGAACAAGCGGGAGTGCTGAGGAGCAGTGAGGGGGCCATTCCTGTGACAGCGTTGCGTCCCGACGCCGGGCGCGTGAGGCCCCGGCCCCGGCCCGGGCCCGAGTTCCGCAGCGTCGAGAAGGAGGGCGCCCCGGAGAGCCTAGAGCTTGTTTCTGCCACTTGGAGAAGGGAGCATGGAGTGGTGAGCGCCCCCCCAACCCCGCTCGGCGAGGCCGCCCCCGGCAAGCTCCCCATGGCCGGGACGTACAGCTCCACTCTGAAGACGCTGGAGGACTTGACCTTGGACTCCGGGTATGGGGCCGGGGACTCGTGCCGCTCCCTCAGCCTCTCGTCCTCCAAGTCCAACTCGCAGGCGCTCAACTCTTCGGCCCCGCAGCACCGCGGGGCGGCCTGGTGGTGCTATTCGGGCTCCATGAACAGCCGCCACAACAGCTGGGACACGGTGAACACGGTGCTGCCCGAGGACCCCGAAGTGGCCGACCTCTTCTCGCGCTGCCCGCGCCTCCCCGAGCTGGAGGAGTTTCCCTGGACCGAGGGGGACGTGGCCCGGGTGCTTCG